AATCATTATGTCAGAGATTTAATAGAGATATATAAAGTAGGATTAAGTCCTTCCGTAATGGCAAGAAATAACCATAGTTAAAAGTTTGGGGCATGTCCTTCATACTTGTAAACACATGTATGAATATATATTTTAAGCATATATGCCCTCATTCAACACGTACATTTTTCTACCTTAGTGCATATAGTTCTGCCTCATCTTTTCATTCATTATGTAAGTCTGTTATAATTTATTAATCAGTTTTTTGATGATATCCATTCAGATTTTTTTTTTCTAGAGTGACACAGTGGACATGAGCATATGTCATTACTTGTCCAATTATTTCCTTGGAATAAATTCCTGGGAATAAAATTCTTGAGGCAAAAATATGTGTATTTTTTTTGTTATGAATATTTATTTATAGCTTTTATGAAATTGAACTGCCAGAAGCTTACACCAGTTTATATTCCTATCAACAATGGGAAGTGTCCATTTCACCACACTTCTCTAGTATTTCTAATTTTAACAACATCTTATAAATCTGACAGGTAAAAATATTTCTATTTATATTTCTTTGGTTATAAATGAGCTTGAAAATCTTACTGTATCAAGAGATCAGTGCCATTTTAAAAGGATCTGATGCCTTTGTTTTCTGCCCTTTTTCCTTGGAATTATGGTAGGATTCCAGATATGAAAATTAGCAATTTTAAGTCATGGAGTTAGAAGAATAATTACAGGCATGGGTATAGAACTTCCATCCCCTGTAAATTTGTGTCATCATACACATACTATTTTCTTAAAACTGTGGGAGAGAATGACCCTTAACAGTTTCTAATAAGCATTAGCTGTTAAGTAAGTGCCTTGTATTACCTTATTAAAACCAAGTGTAAAATAATACTTATTTTCCTCTTTTAATATATATATGTGTTTCTCAATCTTTTTTATTATTATTTTATTGCCTCCCAAGGAGCCCTTTTAGACATTTTCCCTTTAATTGTTCCTCCATGATATTTGATACCATAGATATACTGTGTACTTATTTGTCTTATTTGTTTATATACAGTGGCCCTTTGGAAGCCCACACACCATGGTATTTAAGATTTTTTTTAGCCCTTCCAAGAACAAACTTTACCCCCTTTGGGGTGATGCTGCCCGCATTAAGAATGCATGATTGAGGGGATAGGAGAAAAAGCTTTGCTATGCATGAGTAGTTTTTTAGTTTCATGGGACTCAGAGAGAGGTCACTGTTCTCTTACTTTGTCAGGTGGTCCAGAAGGGGACATTAGGTTTAACAACTCCCACCGTTTTCTTCACTAGTCTGTTATCAAATTCTAGACATAGTGCCTTGAGGTACCTAAGTTACCTAGAATATTTGGGTATAGTATTTCCATTCGTGAGAACATTGGTAATTATGGCAAGGACACAGTGACATTATTATAGTTGGAGGCATTTTGTTGAATTTAGGGAATAGTAGTCTTAATGTAGTAGAAGTAATAGTAAATGTTTTAACCTCTATCCCATTGGTTCTCATTAAGTGGTGATTCTGCCTCCCAGAGGACATCTGCAGTAATTGGGGGCATCTTTGGTTGTCACAGCTGGAAGAGTGGGTGTTGCTAGTGGCATCTCGAGGGATGCTGTTAAACATCCTGCAGGGGAAAGTGTCTCCCCTGTCTTCCCACCACCACCACCACCACCACCCCCTTCCCCTCCACCCCGCCACCATAACCAAGAAGTATGTGGTCCAAAATGTCAGCGCTGCGTAGGTTATGAAACCCTGTTCTAGCCCAGTGATTCTACTCCTTGGAATCTGTCTTTACAAAACAGTCTAAAATACAAAAACGTGTGTGTGCATAAAGGTACTCGCCAAAGTGTTACTTTTCCCTTTACAATGATGTTCTTTTAGAAAATTCACTAATACAAAAAACATAAAATTACTCACAATCTCCCTCAAAATAATGTTGTTGGGATTTTGGTGTATGTGTATTTTTGTAATTGGGGCATATATCGCTATATATAATTATGAAAAGTGGGAAACAAACTTAATTCTTTGAAGAACAAACTGATGGTTACCAGAGGGGAGGTGGGGGCGGGGGTGTGAAATAGATGCTAGTGCCTATCATGATGAGCACTGATGGAACACTGTATGTTAACTACACTGGAATTAAAATTAAATAATTACAGAAACCTAATTCTTTGAGACTTAGAAGAGATTTGATTGCCCATGGCAGGACTACATCAGTTTCAGGAACACTAAATAATTGGCAACTACTTTAGAGATAAATAAACTCAGCCATTTCAGGAATTCTTTATACAGTACCCTTCAACCTCTCTGTCCATTTTTTCACTTAAATTTTCTGTTCTGAATTACTGTTTGCAAATGCTTTTTACACTACCATAGAGTTAAAAGGTACAGGCAGTTTTTCAATGAAGCTAACTTAATTTTGTGTACCAGTAGAGGTAAATGATAGACCCATCCCTAGGGATAGTCTTTTATTTTTTTCTATACTGTAATTTAATATGGAAGAACAAATGATAAAAAATTGGAAGCAGTCATAATGTCTATCAGTAGAGAATGGATAAATAGATTTTGGAATTTTTCACAAAATGAAATACTGTACAACGGTTTAAACTAATGAACTAATCTGTATATATTATAAATCTAAAGTATAATGTAAATGAAAAGCAAGGCATAGGATATTTAGATAGAGTATGATAACTTTGAAGTAAATGTTAATATTACACAAAATAGTATATTGTTTATAGGTATGTGTATGTATATATACATAAAATATAAAACCATGGATGGCAAGAATACACACCCAGCCTCAGGGAATTAGCTACCTCTGATGATGGATGGGAAGAGAATTTGATCAAGGAACAGTAGAAATAACTTTCTATTCCTTAGAAGAAAAAAGTATTTCAAACAAATATGGCAATATGCAAGTTGGTTTAATCTTGAGTATGGGTACATTGAGTGTTCTTTATACTCTTTTTCTTTGTTTTTGAAAAATTGCAAGGTCACATTTTTAAAAAGTAAACGTACTTTTCAAATTTGTTCATGTTTGAACTGAGACCAAATATGGAAAGATTTTTATAATAGTCCTAATCTAACAATGTATATATAATAAAACAGTAGTGAATGACTTCTTTACAATCACAACTAGTTAACTATAGCAAATAAAATTATTTCCAAGGGCTTTTCTTCCTTTGTTTTTGGAATGCTAAGTACTTTCCGAAGGTATTTAGGGTCTACTGAATGTTAAGAAAGATAAATGGTTCTTGAAATTACTCAAGCAATGATTGGAGTAATTGAATATGATTTACAATTCCATAAGATGACGAATTCATTATCTTTTTTCTCCCCTATAACTTAACATGGAAAAAACAAATATATTTAGAAAGAAACCATATTATACATTAAGATTAAAAAATCAGTTTATTTCTTACTAAGAAATGTGGAATTGGGTGGCTCAGCTGGTTGAGTATCTGAATTGGTTTCAGCTCAGGTCGTGATCTCAGGGTTGTGAGATCTAGCCCTGTGTTGGGCTCCACACTCCAATCAGCACAGAATCTGCTTGAGATTCTTTCTCCCTCCCTCCCTCCCTCCCTCCCTGCCCCCCCCCATGCTTGTGCTCCTGCTCTCTCTCTCTCAAATGAATAAATAAATAAATAAAATATTTAGGAAAAAAAAGAAATGTGGAATCTCTGAGCCTCTTGATGGTGATATGATGTGATACCTGTTTGGCAGATGATGAACATTGCAGAGTGTTTTGTTTTGGAAGAATTGTTTATTTAAAACCAGGAACTGTTATATTTGCATTCAGATTTTTTTAGAGTTTTTTCCTCTGAGATTTTAGACATCTGGTCTTTAAATTAGTAAAGGGTGCTTTATGGCTTTGTTCTATCAAAAAAACGAATACTAAACATAATTGTTTCTTATATGGTAAATGGCACTTTCAACATAAGCATAATCAAGCATATTTTTTTCTAGCTAATGCCAAAAACTGTCTTGTTATTGAAGAAAACTTCTATAAGTAGATCTGTGGTAGACTTACCATAACAGAAGGATTTTTACTTGCTTTTATGGTTATTGTCTTCTGACAAAAAGTTGACTAAATCATATAAATGTTTAGTGAGAGATACTTAGATTGTATTAAAGAAAATTATTTGAGATTTTGGAGCCATGCTGCTAGGGGATAGATTTCTAGTGATGCTGCTGGTCATTTGCCTGGACATACTGTTGGCCATTAACTTGCCAGTGGGTTGTTAGAAATTTTTTCTAAGTAAGGAAAACATGTAAAACCATCATATGGTGAAAACATTTAAATTTCTCTATTGGATTCGGTATTTCAAGCATTAAATTTTTTTTTAAAGAAAGAATGGCATATAATGTCACCAAATTTAGGTATGTTAAATAGAACATGTGGTCATTATGCTAAAATTAGACATTTACTGAATTATTACTGTTGATCCTGTATCAAACCAAAGTTTAGACCTGAAAGCAAAAGGACTCTAGCTCAGAGTGCGTTCTGCTTAGCAACCAACTTGTTGTCTACTGTTTTGCTACTGATGCACGTACTCATTGCTCAGAAGTGTGTCTGCAGCCAGCTGGTCGCAACCAGACAACATTTCATTCACCTAATTTCCAGACTAGTTAGGCAAAGACATCAGCTCATTGTTTTTAGAGATGAGCAAATTTATTTGTAAACTTCAAGTAGTAACACACTGATCTCAAAAGCCCCTGAATTGTGAGAAATTGCCTTCTAATTCAGGAATGTAAAGTCCTTGTAATTCAGAACTGCTGCACTTAATTTTATTTCCCTCTTAAAAATCCTTACAGGTATGTTGTTTAAAAAACACAGCCTCTGAAATCTTAGAGAAAATAGAAAAGATACATTAAATCATTAAATTCAAGGAATACTTTTTGAATTAGTACCGGAAAACAAAAATCCAAGAGGTTTGATTTGTGCTCAAACTTTTATTGTCTACCTTGATCCTCATAAGATTATCTTCTAATTTAGAAAACAACAGTTTTGTTGGCATGTGAAGCTCCAGTTTCCTCAGAGTCAAGCTGTGTACATAGAAAAAAGGTATAGTATTACCACTATTAAGAACTTCTTTGTTCTTACTGTGTTTTTGTATTTACAGTAAACTGTTAACTTAAATGTGACATCATTAAATGTATGTCAGGAGTAGAATGGATAACTAAGTTGTTATCTTTGAAGTTGTATACCAGACTAAAGTCACAGAAAGGACTTTATATGAATATGTATAATTGATTGAGGAAAGTTACTCATTGAAAGCATTGTCTTAATTTTGTTTTTACAGATTTATAGTTCTAAACAATGTGCATATTTACCGGAAAGTTGAAAAACCTGAAATCCTTTATTTCCAGGGAAAGTAGTATCAATTTTTTACCCTGGTCTGATGATTTAGAATGAATAAACTTGAACATGCACTGAAATTAGCATCATTTGCAACCTTTTTTCAGATTTTATATTTCTGCAACTTTCAAATATATTTACCCTGAGTTCTTTCTTCTCATCTGTGAGCACAGGTGTGTGTTAAAAGAGGTTTCATATTTTTATAATTGATTTATAGGGAGCTTCTCAAAATACTGCTTTTTAGGACTTTTTAAGTGTGTCCAAGAAGTCTTTTTGAGCTTTTTTCCTAAGTAATTTTTGTTTAAAAGGATGTTATATTTTGCCAAGAGTAAAATAAAAGATCTGTGTTCAGTCATTTAAACAAAAAAGCCACAAGATTTAGTAATTCCAAGTTAACACCATTAGTAGAAACTTATAATGTTTGTTTTTTTTGTTGTTGTTGTTGTTGGGAAGAGTACCAGATGATAAAACTATTAATGAAATCCTAAGACCTTACATTGATCCTGAAAAGTCTGATCCTGTAATTCGTCAAAGGTATGGTTCAAAAATATTGTAATTTTCTGAAATTATTAAAAATGTTGAGGTACTGGTTATGTGCGTATTTATTATGTAAAGCTATGACTTTGTTAGAATATGGTATGTCAGTGCAGTTTACTTTCTGTGCCATTTCCCTGGTGTTTACTCAAGGCTTTGTCAGTCACGGATGATGCTTTTGGATAGCAATAAAAACAGTGTGTAATACTTAGTATTTACTGTTTTCCAGATCCTCATTGAAAGAGATAATAAGGGCGCCTGGGTGGCTCAGTTGGTTAAGCGACTGCCTTCGGCTCAGGTCATGATCCTGGAGTCCCAGGATCGAGTCCCACATCGGGCTCCCTGCTCAGCAGGGGGTCTTCTTCTCCTCTGACCCTCTTCCCTCTCGTGCTGTCTGTCTCTCATTCTCTCTCTCAAATAAATAAAATCTTAAAAAAAAAAATAGAGATAATAAATATGTGTTAATTAATTTAATCTTCATAGTAACCCTTTAAGGTAGATAACTGCTATTATACCCATTTTGCAGATGGGGAAACTAAGCCTTAAAGTGGTTAAATGATTCATATAGCAAATAAGCAGGGAAGCTGGAATTTAAACCCAGGCAGTCTGGAATCAGAGTCTGCACTGTTAACTCTCAAATCAAACTTCTCTAAAGTTGAATCAGAAACATTGAAAATTAAGAGTTTCCAAGTAACTGTTAAAGACAGGGAATTCTGTTTCAGCAGAAGTCTTCATAAAACTAATTAAGATACACTCTGCCTCCTGCCCAGAAATATAGCATTAACAAAAATGGTTAACCTAGAGTAGTAGAAAGATTCAGTTATGAATATCTGGGCTAGAATAGCTCGCTCTGTCCCTTTTTAGCTGTGTGATCAAGGAGTAAGTTACTTAACTTCTGGACCTTAATTTTTTCATCAGTAAAATGAGAATGATAATATCCACTAGCTAAGGTTATTTGAAGCTTCAAAAAAAAAAAAATATATATATATAAAGTTCCCAGTACAGGGCCTAGCGCACAGTAGGCAGCACTCAAAAAGGGAAACTATTATTAGAGTGGGAATTAGTTTTCCTGAGCAGGAACCCCTTTGACTTTGTTTTCTCCAGATGGTACCTGCTTGGGATATGAATGCTTGGTTTGGTTCCAGAGTAACCTGGTGTTTAAATTTTAGACTGGGTGGATTCTAAAATGTCTGGTCCAATTCTAGTTAAATCTCATCTTCTACTTCTAATAAAAGGTGTTGCCCAGACTGAACCAGATCCATGCCCCATATCAAGTAGTGTCTTTGGCACACATATAGTGGTTGGATTTCTTTCCTTCCTATTACTGATAATCCAGTTGTTATCATTGGTCATGTGTTTGGCAGTAAGACAAAGTACCTGTCACTAAATTGGATACATTCAATTAAAATAAATAAAATAACAAGTTTAACTTAATTTAACTGAAATAGATATTTTTTAATTCAAGATATTTTACAGAGAGAAGAAAGGTAATTTTTTAAAATTCAAATCCTTGGTTAGAAAATATCTTTAACCTCTTTTCTATGCTTGGATAGTTGAATTTTAAGTATTATTAGCTACTCATAAATATTTGGTCTTCCATAGATACTATCTTGAAATATATTAAAAATCAGTTTTGCTTCCTTCAATATGACATTTTTATTTCAGGTTGAAAGCCTACATTCGCTCTCAAACTGGGGTCCAAATTTTAATGAAGGTTGAATATATGCAGCAAAATTTAGTAAGGTAAAATTGCTTCCCTCCCCATTTCTTTATATATTTTCTAATTCTGTAATATAATTAAGTAGCTTGATTAGCTTAAGTAGCTGGTTATTATACTACTATGATTTTCAAATTAAAATTTTAAAATAATCACACTTATAGAATAAATTCAATTGAAAAATTACTCTGGTTAAAATATCTTAAAATGGCATTATGTATAAGTAAAAGATTCCTAATTCCCATTTTAATTTACTTCAAGAAATATTCTCTACAACAGAGTTTGAGTGTTTACGTTTTTGCCTTTGGAAATGCAAAAATTCATGTGATCAACTGAGCATTGCATATATTGCTTTCTCTGCAGAGAAATGTAAAGAGAGCTGGGATCTAACAAACCATATTATTTGAGAAAGTTCTTAACTTTACTGGGCTCTGTTCCTTCATTAATGGAGTGGTAAAATAGACTACACCAAACAATCTCTGGGAGTCTCTACAAAGTCTGCTTACATGCCAGTTACGTTGTCGTTGTACTGAATTACAAAACACTGATCTTTTATGACCTTTGATGCTCTTCCATTCATTGTTCAAGTAACAAAACTACTAGAATCAACTCAGACTGTATCTGGTCAGTCTCACCTATGATTTGATTTGTTAACATAGCGTAGAGGTTTTAGAGTCCAAGCTGTGAAACCCAGCAGAGCTGGGTTGAAATCCCAGGGGCACCTGGGTGGCTCGGTTGGTTAGCGTCTGCCTTCAGCTCAGGTCATGATCCCAGGGTCCTGGGATGGAGCCCCGAGTCAGACCCCCCTGCTCAGCGGGGAGCCTGCTTCTCCTTCTCCCTCTGCCGCTCCCCCTGCTTGTGTGCGTGCCCCCTCCCTCCCTCTCTCTCTCTCTCTCTCTCTCTCTCAAATGAATAAAATGTTAGAAAAATAAAAAAGATCGTCGTGAAAGATTAAGATATTCATTCAGCACATGGTAAGTGCATGATTTTATTATTACTACTCCAGATAAATGGATTCTTACAAAATGTCTGCACATAAGATTGTAAGACTTGTAGCTAAGAACAGATTTAAACACCAAATCTTGACCACCTTTTACCAGCATATCTCAAATACTCGCAACTTCATATCATTGATCATGGTTCAGTGATAAAAAATTCAAGTTTTCTATCACATAGTTTTTTCCCTAGACTTCTTAATTCAGTACATGTACATGTAGTTCATGCTTTAACTCTCCTCCTTCCCCTGAAAGATTTGGAATCTCAAATGAGAGAGGGATAGAAGGTTTTGTGGGTTTTGCAAAGATAGTTTATCCAGTTGTAACATCCATGCTAACCAAAGTCAGTATTTCTAAAATTGGTAATCAAACATTTATGTAATTAGTGAGAAATACTGATGTAAAAGGTGCATTCTTTCAGTTTTGCCTAGCAAAATCTTAAAGTAAATTTCATACAATTCATGTTTAAACAAAACAATTTGCAACATTCCCTTGGAATTTACCTCCTGTCAGTCATTAAATAATTTCTCCTTTTATTATCTGTTATCCCATTTAAATTCAGTTCCTTTCTTAACATTTACTATATCTTATTTAGTTAATTCTTGTAAATGTTACTCACATTTACGTGGTGCACTCTTGATGGGTATACTGTGGCTTCAGTCTCAATAAGCCTGTTAAAAGAACACCTGTGAGGGTTTTTATGAAAAATGAAATTGCTTTCTGGGTAGTTGTTTCATCTCATCTTCTCTGGGCCATGGAACTAATACATACTCTCCCAAGTCTTCTCATGACAACCTGCTGATGTGTCCCAACATTCTAACACTCTGCACCACTCTGAGCATTTACCAGCTCCTTGTCCTAGACTGCCAGTGTGGGGATAACATGTAAATGGCTCCAGAAGGATTGGAAGGGAGACAGTAAAAGTGCTACCCATCCAACTGATTGCTTCATCATTTCCTTTGTTGTACTTATCAGGCCTTGAATAATTACAGATAGCAGCCATTGGCTACTATTTTAATGGCTGCATGAATGTAATTATTTGTTTTCTTAACAAGTATGTGTTTGAAATACCATATTGCTTTTCTAGACTTAATAAAAATATTTTGATGAGGTTGGGCATCATCTTGACCATGGTCACCCTGTTTACCTAATCTGTTCGGCTAATTAAATTTCTTTACCAAAGCTAAGGAAAACAACCCATTATAATTTTGGTACAACTGCTAAGAACAAAAGGTTGGGGTTTTCTTTTTCCTTTTTTCTTTTATGTTAGTTTATTATGATTTTTGTTTTGTTTCTTTGTTGTTTCCATTTTTATTTCCTCCATTACCAGAAAGAGAAAGTTTGCTCTATTTTTATTTTAAGTCAAGGCAAACTGGGAAGTGGCCAGTAAAGAAATGTGCCAGCTCACTGAGCCAGTCAAACTTGACTCTTTGGCATTAGTATCCTCTTCTTCCAAAATTCAAGGAAACCAAAATTATATATGTTAAAAGGTGGATACTGAGTATTTTAAAGTTTATAATACAGGACAGGCTGTTTGGGCTCAGATAGCATTCATTTTTAATTTGGAAATGGATGCTATAAATGCTTGAAGAGCAAAGAGGATAGAGATTTCGAGATGGAGATTTCGAGATGGAGCTAATATGGCTTCTTAAGTAAATTCGTGTATTCATTCACTTGCAGACAGTGATACCCACTGTGGTCCAGGTGGGTATTCCAGACATTAGGGTGATGACAGTAAGGAGAACCATTTCTGCCCCTGTGGAGCTTACAGTCTCAGTGGAGGAGAATTCATGAAAGATGCATGTCCTAGCAGACCAGGGTTTTCCAGGAGAGTGGCTAGCAGAAATGCTTATAGCATGACATGATCCAGAGGGGAGCAGTTGGGAAAATCATTTCACGCAATTCCATTAGAAAGACATCAGGATAGAGAGAGACCAGAGCACAGGAAGATACCAGTCAGATTGGAAAGGTTTAATTTAACAGAGAGGGTAAACCTGAACCCAAAACAAGGTCAGAGAAGTACACTGAATGATCTAATTCTAGGCCCTCAATTTTTCTGTGCTTCATTTTCCTTTAGGGTCCTTTATTTTCTCTTATTTTATACCTTCTTTAGGAACCCATAGAGGACCAAAATTGGGCCTTGGGTTAACCTTAATCCCCATAGGGAAAAGAATGATAGATTAATAAAGTAAAAGGTGAGTGTTGTTCAAAAAAATACCTAGAATAGGCTGATACTAAACCTGAGCCAATCTGAATAAGATGAAAAGTATTTTGACTTTCTTTTATCTATATAAATAACTTGCCATCCAAATTTCCCCATTTGAGTTGTTTATTTGAACTCAGTGATCTATGAAAACATTAGGAAGAAAGGGAAGGTTACAACCTAGGTCCTCGGAAACTCCAGTGAAGGAGTTTTTATTCTAAGTTGGGATAAGGTACATCATATATTTCTGATTGTTAAGTCAACTTCATGATATAGTGATCCTAATTTCTATAAAACTTCCCAGTTTTCAAGTATTTTCTAATCATGACTAATGAAATTAGATACATGAGAATACTTTTAGAAATAGATTTTCATTTGATTTTTTTATTTAAAGATTTTTTAAATCACAGTGTTTTTCAGATAGTGCATTCATAGATAGGATAAGATGAGCACTTAACATTTAATTGTATACTTAATTACACTAGTATCATTAAACATTCAGAGAACATCTAAGTAAGATTATTATAGGTTTTAAAATGTTAGGCTTCTAATATAAGATAAGCATGCTAAAATAGGATTTTATTATTTCCTAAAAAGTACTTACAAGGCAAAAACATGTAGTTTCCTTGTGGCTGTTGATTTTAAATGTATCCTACGATTTACAGCATTCCCATGACTCCAGAGTAAAGTCTTTTTACCAAATCCTTGATGTTGCCAGTTTCTACTGGTTGTGTTTTCCATTCTTGGAGGGTTTATGATAGTTGTCTCATGATATACCTGATCAGCTAGAGCAATCTTAAATGTTTCCATTTTTAGCTTTGCCATACATGACTTTTATTTTTAGATTTAGGGGATTATAGAATGCATGTCTAACCCTAAGGAATTTGCTGCTGATCTGTTTGGGAGTTTTCTTTCCAGAATACACAGAGTTTGAATTTGTGTTTTCTTACAAGAGCTAATATGGCTTCTTAAGTAAATTCGTGTATTCATTCACTTGCAGACAGTGATACCCACTGTGGTCCAGGTGGGTATTCCAGACATTAGGGT